AGATCTCTCTTGCTAGATTGTTTGCCAAGGACTGCATGACATTAGGTGGACGGCCATGCCAAAGAATGGCAAGTTTTGCTATTATAAATTACCTAAGAAAAATATATGAACATACAACAAACTGTCAAAGCTGGATTTTGTAAAGTTTCATTTTTTAAACAAATGCACTGTGTACAGACCACTGTTTTGAGGAACTGAGAAATAAGGGAAATGAAGCTGAGTCCTGGAAGCATGCCATCTCTCTCATGACTCCCTGCATTTTATGACTTTGTAACACACTGTAGGAAATACCCAGCCTTGGAAAGGAGTTGTACCCAATCTTATACAGTGTAGCATTCTCTAATATTATAACTGAAAAAGCATATCTTGCTTTTTGCTTGAATACAATGTAATATAGTACAAGAACTTCCAGATGTATATTTTTTAAAGTTTTGACTGATTTTTTTCATTTTGCAACACTTAATGACAGACAACAATGACAAATGTTCATAAGTGCTATGGAATGATTCAAGACTGTTTTCTGCACTGAGTCATCAGTTTGTGGGGAAATATCTGTTGAATACAATTGTAAATATAGATGGCTTGTCTGATTTACCATTTCGTGGCGAAAACAAAATCCAGGGCATAGATTCCTGGAGTTTCCCTATTTGGGGAATATTTTTTCTTGAAACAGCTTCTCTGGTCTACAGCATGTGTCTCGCTCTTGTGGGCACCTCTGCGGAATATGACATGCTGCAGCTCAGTGGTGTGGAGCACCTGCTTTGCATGCAGATATTTCCAGGTTCAGTCTCCATCCAGCATTTCTAGGAAAATCTCCTGCTTAAAACCACTGCCAGTCTTTACCAGCAGTAATGGAATGATGGTCTAATGGTCAGACTATAAGGCAGCTTGGTATATTCCTAATAAGCCTCACTGGATAAGGTAAGGTGAATTTCCATGTGTAGGCTGTGTGTCTTGCATACTTACTTTCTACATTATGCAGCGAGGGTGTAAATGTCTGACAAACACAAGACATTTAATTAAATCCTCAGGGTTGTTATGATCCCATGGCTTGAAATGCTCTGTCATTCCGGGTTCATGGCTGCTTGGTCCTCACCACTTTCCAGACTGTGCCAGGATGTTGGTCATCTTGGGCCATTTCTAGCTAATGAGTTTAATATGGGAAATGTGCAGCCTCCCTCAAGGCTGTGATTATGTGGTGAAGACTTTTATCTTTGGCGGCTGTGCACCACACTCTGGTGGCATTTGCACATCACTGTTGATTTAACCTTCTGTAAAAATAGATTATGGTCTGAAGTGCATGACTTGTTGAGATGTGGGGGAGGAAATGATAATGGAGTGAACAGGTAGATACTGTAGAAAAGAAAGGGATTACATTACTGCAGCTACAAGTGGGGAAACTGCTTCTTCACTGGACAGCCCTGCCTATGCTTTTTAAAAAATGTATAACAATGGGTTAGATTTATTAGTCTTATGAACCCTCTGCGACTATAAATCAGAGTTCTGCAAGCTGAACCTTTCCCACAGCTGCCACTCTTTAGAATATTTTACTTTATGCAATAAGGGTTCACTAATATTTACTTCAGATTTTTCAGAAGACTCATTTTTTAGGATTTAAGAGACACAAAATAAGGAAGTGGATTTAAAATAAGCAAGTGTAGAGTAATGCATGTTGGAGCAAAAAATCCCAACTTCAGGTATACACTGGTAGATCTGAGCAAGAAAGGGATCTTGGGGTGGTGGGGACGGATTGATGAAAATGTCAGCCTAGTGCTCAATTGCTGTGAAGAAGGCAAACTCCATGCTAGGCATCATTAGGAATGGAATAGAAAATAGAACTGCCAAAATCTTACTTTCCTTATACAGATCCTTGATTCAACTGCTCTTGGAATATTGTGTTCAGCTCTGGTCACCTTACCTACAAAAGGACATTACTGAGTTGGAAAACGTACAGAGAAGGGCAACAGAAATGAACAGGGGGCTGGAGCAGCTCCCCTGTGAAGAGCGCCTATGACAACTGGGCTGGTTAAGCTTAGAAAGAAAGGTGAATCGGGGAGGCATGATAGAGGTGTTAAAAATAATGTATGACATTTAGAAAATAGAGAGGGAGACATTTTTCTCCCTTTAGCATAATACTCGAACCTAGGGTCATCCCATGAAGTTGATTGCAGGGAAGTTTTGGACAGATAAAAGGAAGTTGTCCTTCACACAGCACATAGTTAAAGTACTGAAGCCACTTCCATGGGAAGTAGTGATGGCCGCCAATCTGGATAGCTTTAAAAGGGGACTGGACAGATTGACCAGGGGGGAAGCTGTCAGTGGATACTAGCCTTGCTGGCTGTGTGCTCCCTCCTTCCCTGGAGGTGGCCTGTCTGCATACCACCAGTTGCTGAAGAGCTTGGGCAGGAGGAGGTCTTGCACCCATCCTGCTTGAGGGATCCTGTAGGCAGCTGGCTTGCTCCCTTGTATGTGGAGTGCTAGACTTATATGCACCTTTGGTCTGATTCAGCATGGATTTTCTTATGTTCTAGGTTCTTACAGTTGCTCTTACAACTGAGGGCTGTGATACCTGGGTAAGAGTACCCACTGTCCTTTCACATGTACACTAAATGCAGAAGGGGATTTGTGTGAGAAGGGGAGAGGTACACCAACACATGGTGCACAGTTGTCTTCTAAATCGTGGCTTGTCAGGTAGTGTTACATCTAAGTTGGTTATTGTATTGTGTACTACGTGCCTTTGTTTGGATTCTATGCTAGTCAGTAGTAATAGTACCTATTGTGGCCAAGTAACATTTATTTATTTGATTTATATCCTGCCCCTTTTCTTGCAAAGAACTCAAAATGGCTTATTTACTTGCTCCTGCTCTCAATCTTATCCTCAATCTTACCTCCCCCTGTGAGGTATGTTGGGCTGAGAGTCTCTGACTGGCCCAAAGTCACCCAGCTGACTTAATGGTTGAGCAGGGATTAGAACCCAGATTGCCTCAGTCCCACACTCTTAACTACTGCACCAGACTGGCTTTTACTTTGTTTAATAAATTTTTTAATGTAGACACATCTCCTGTCCATTTGAGGGTAGTAAATTTGAACTTTTTCTTGGATTAAGAACTGCTTTCTTAAATCCTTGTTAATTGCTATTTAATAGTATCCAGTGAATTCTGAAAACATAGCAACAACTACAATGATGTACATAAAGGGAAAATGCTTTTTCATTACTTTCGGAAGTGCACAGAAAATACATCTAAAAATATAAAGTATGTTTGCAGTCATTATGAGACTCATACAAGTATGATGACTGGGATTGGTTCCATTTCCCTGTTGTGGGTATACTTTGCAGCAACTTGATCCTGCTTTAATCTGTAAAATTGCCCTGGGTTATTTTAATGATTAATAACATCAGTGCATGGTGAATGTTGGTGTCATTTTTCAATGCTTGCTTTGCAGTGAGAAATTACGAGAAGATTCATTTGTTTTGTTTATGTTGAGTGCACAATCATAGCAGCATTTTCAGTGTTTCACTGATATTGGAGATGCTGCTATGCTGTTAAATGGTGCATTCTGATGTTACATTGGTTGAAAATTGCCTGAAGCATATCCTGAGAATTTTAATAACTTCTGGCAATATTCAATGTGACTGGGGATGATGGAGCATTTGGAGGACATCAGGTTGGGGAATGGTACTCTAGAGTGTACTGTAAACATTGTCCTTTTGCTGTTGATGATGATGCAGATTTGAAGGAGTTGTACCTAAGCTATATTTGATTCCACCCTGTGGTATCTGCTGCTCTTGTAATCCAGCAAAAACTCTGGGAGCAAAGTGGAAAATTGTGATGTGAAGCATTCGTAGTAAACAGATTACTGATAAAATTTGGAAAAGTAACTTATTGATTTATTTCCAGGGTGGTGCTCTTGAATTTGGTAACAACTCTGATAAAAGGTCAAACAACATAATTGTTTATAATGTATTTTCAGCATATTTTTATCATTGTTTGAGTATGCTACCTTCAGTAACCTCATGCTTTTGTGAACAAGATAAATGTAGACTACTTCTATCTTTCATGTATGATTATAAGTTATAAATAAGATTCTCTGCTTCAAGAGTCAGTAGTTTTCAAAATGATCGATTGGTCCTTTGCTTAAGCAGATACCTTTATCAACGTAGCTAAAACAGTACCATTTGCTGTCAGCAATCCAGCAATATTCTACCTGTGCAAAGCCTAGAAAACACTTTTGATTATTAGGGACTGTGCATCCTCTGAATTTTTATATTTCATTATTTGCCAAGCTTATGTTGCATTCTTTCCAACAATTTAAAAACATACATGTTATTATCACAGCAGGAATGCTTTTGATTCACTGGGGTCACCTACTGGGGTCACCTACTGTGAATTTATTTATTTATTTAGAAAATTTCTATGCCGCCCCATTCGCCGAAGCCTCGGGGCAGCTCACAAATTAATCAATTAAAATACTATAAATTAACAATATAAAACAAGTTAACAATATAAAAAATTCAGGGTTGTGGGGAGCTGCACTTTGGAATTTCCATATCTAACCCAAACATTGCTTCAGAATTTCACCCAGGGCAGATACTAGCTAAAGGGGCTTTTTGTTGTGTGGTGGTTGCAAATTATGCCTAGCAGATTTGGTTGGTGACCTTTGCTATCTTTAAGGTGCCAGAGTAAGTTGCCCTTTTCATTCAAGCTTTCATTGGCTTTTATTGATACTTGTTTGTTTTGTTCATTGGCACTTGCTGTTCCTAAGGGCTAGGGTTTCTTTGTTTGCCAATCCTATCAACTTTTATCTGTTACAGCCTTTTTACCCTTCACTGTGTCTGTTACTTTTATTTACTTTATTTACAAAAAGCCTAAAATTTCTAGAATTTTAAAAATTATTTTAGCATTATTATTGTAAGCTGCCTTGAAAACATTGTTTTTACAAGGTGGAGTTTAGATAATGAAATATTCCACTGAAATCTCTCTTTTCTTCTCCTTCCACAGTATCCTTCGATATATGGATTGATTCTTGCCATCTTCTGGTGTTCTCTGGTTTGTTTTAGTCGTATATATATGGGAATGCATTCAATTCTGGTAAGGAAAATATTGCTAATCAGTTATTTTGAAACCACTTTTACATACAGGGTAGTTCTTACCCTGCTGCTTTGTAATTTACATGGTCTGAGTATTTGTATCTCATTTGGCCCAACTCATCAGCCTTGATAACAGAATTCCATATTTGACTTATTTTAAGGAAAGACCTAATTTCATTCTGATTTTCATTAAATCCAGTCACATCTGTTCCCCCTTACTATGAAAACAAAAAATGTCCTACATGTTCCTAAATAGCAACCTGCCTTTGGAGGGCCTGTGCAAGTCTGACTCCTAAGAAGATACCCAGAGGAGGAGTGCGGTGATAATGACTGTACATGTGGCCTGTACAGGCCACTTTAGGAAGCATGAATCTTTATCATGCCACCCTGCCTGCATCATAGAATGGTGCATCAGCAACACTAGTTGCAGCCTTAGCCAACGGGTTGTTCGCAACATTATGCTCAACCATAGTTACGTGTTATATGAACATTCTAGCTCAAACCTCAGGGTCAAGAGCTCCCCTTGCATTCTGATAAGTGAGAAAGCACAGTGGGTTTCCCTGTTGTGTAAACCTAGACTGTTTCCCACAGGGTAGCTTGTTTAAGGACAGCAAGCCATCTTGACAGCCCATAGCTTGTTCTAGAGTTTCTTGTACCTGTGATGGATGGTTTTGTTGTTCATACCTAGACTGTTTGCATGTTTTCCTTAGACTCAAGCTGCCTGTGAAAGTGAAAGTCCCCCTGCTTTTATGGGGGGGGGGATTTGAAAATAGCATGTTTCCTGACAGATGTATATAGCTGTATGCCTCTGTCAAAAAACACCCATTGCTCTATTCCAGATTTGTCAAAACTCTGTTTCCCTTACAAGGGCTAGGATGTACTTCTGCATTTCTTCCTAAGTATAAGTAGCTAGAGTCAGAGGGAAAAGTGCTAAAGGTTCAGTAGCTCAAGAGAGAAGATGGCATCTTGTTGTGAAAGGAGCGTAAATCTCATCACCTGTTTTTGGTGAGTAAAGTTCCTTCATGCCTTTGCTTTTCTCTGACAGCTCACCTTTTAACAGCATCTTGTAAAAGAGTGGAAAAGGTAAACAACAGGAAGCTCCAAACCATAGAGAGAGAGAGGATCTTGCCTGTGATATCCTTTTGCTAGCAAAGATCCTCTTGCAGTTTTACTTCTCACTTGAAAGCTGTTCTGTAAGAAGCAAGGCAAGCCTATTTGAAGGTTTGCTTTCTTGGTACCCATGCAGGGTGCTTCCTGTATTTGGACAGACACAGCATCTAAGGCATTGGCAAGTTGAGGCTCCACATTAGGGCGTGTTGGAATTGCACACTTTGTCAGCTCCTTCTCCCTTTTAAAAAACAAAACATAAAGACAAATGTGCACACAATTTAAAAAGGTGAAGAACCAGTAACAGCTGTTCCACTGTACTTTTTGGCACTCTGAAGGACTATTAGTGGCTGTCACTTTGAACATTGCAAAAAGCAGTCTTCAGGAAAAACAGGGAAAAAGCCATACAGCAGCCAAAAAAGGTTATGGTTGCACCAGAGAGAGGAGACCAGACAGGTCCTGCCATGGAGTTCCCTGAGATATCCATGGGAGGACAGAGGGGGAAGTGGGGGATGGCCCATAGTGAGCTTAATCTGCTGGGTGTACTGTGAGTTTCTTCATGTACAATTCACACTGTGTAGCTTATTCACAGGATTGGTTGCGTTTACATGACACAATTGTTTAAAAAAATATCCTGCTTCTAGCATACGTGTGTATAAGCATGCAATAAAAGCTTACAATTGTGAGCAGCTTTCCTCTTCTAGGATATTTTTACACAAAAACCTTAACTGGCTTAATAGTCCTTCCATCTCCCCCTAAGAACTGTGTGAAACATTTGTAGAGGAGAACTGGTTGGTGGGGAGGATATTTAGTCCTTCCAGTATCTACTAACTGTCCACATGTGAAACTCACCAGGTACACTCACAATCTGGCTTATGTCTAGCCAAAAAAAAAAGTTTAAAAATATCAGAATGCAAGGGGAAGGGGAGTTCTTTGGTGTAGGAATAGATATTATCTTTTGTAAATGTCCCTCCAACCATACATTAAGTTCAACAAAATTGTATGGATTCTTATTTCCATTTTCTAATGGGAAGATTAATCTTCTTTGAAGATACAGACTGACTTTCTCCTCACTCTTTGAAGTCCAGGTTCTTGGATATGATTGATAAAGAGCATATCTAAATGCCTATAGTCTTATCCCCACATCATATTTTAAAGATCTAATTCTTCTGTTTGGTGTGTTTTTTGTACACCAAGTTGTATGGCATATCTCAGCCATAAATCTCTTCCTCTTCTTTGATTTCCCAGCAGCATAAACTGAGTACTGCACTAGCATTGCCGGTGGTTATCCATTTCATTTAGAGGAAAGACGTGGCCCTGTCCCTTCTTTCTAATCCTTCTGGTATGCAGGGCTTTTGCTAGTTCCCTTCACAAATAAATAATCCTCTTTCCCCACCCTGGCGGCCGTGCAGGTAGGGACTGCACCACACACTTACAGAACAACGTAACTAAAGCACAACACAACATTAAAACAGCAGCCCACTAACACAGCCACGAGGAACAAACACCTAGAAAGGACTTTTCTTGAAAGCTTGATAAATGATGTGCCTTTGGATCAGAACTAGAGAGTACTTCTGCTTTGAAGGGTTTGTGCATACAGTACATTTTCAGGACATGATTTCAAAGCACTTCCTCTGGACAATGGGACTGGCACACTGGCCAGTTTTCTGCACTTCTGCAGTGCCACAGGAGGTCCGTCCATCCGTCCATCCTTCCTTCCTTATTATTTATAGCTTTTGCATGCTGTCCTATTATACAAAAATCTCAGGATGGCTTACAATATTTAAAAGAACAATTAAAACAACAATTTCTAATAAATAAATTGAAACAGAACAAAACAATAAATCACAAAACAAACAGAGTGACTGAAGGTTAAAAGTTGTTAAATTTTAAAATACTGTTTAAATAAAAACACTCAAAATCTTTCCTTCAGTGCTTTTGTGTTAAAATATACGTAAAGGGTTTTTTCCCCCTGCTTGGGCAACATGGGACATATACTTGGATAATGTCTGAAACATCCCAGATACATTTCTCTCTCTCTTTCTCTTTGCGCATGTAGGTTTAAACTATTTTAAAAGAAGTTTAAGGAAAATATATGCTTTATTTGTGTCATATAAATTACCATTCTACAAATAACATTAATTCATTTTTTTTCTCTTTTGTGGCAGGATGTTATTGCTGGATTCTTTTATGCTCTTCTCATCTTGGCTGTCTTCTTTCCAGCCGTGGACCTAGTTGACAGCTTTAATTTAACCTGCAAGTATGCACCACTAATTATCATCAGTCTTCATCTGGTCTTGGGGATTTTCTCCTTCACTTTAGACACCTGGAGCACCTCCCGAGGGGACACAGCTCAGATCCTGGGCTGTGGTGCTGGAGTTGCTTGTGGCTCCCACATGATGTACATCCTGAGCCTGATGCCTGATCCTTCGCCAGAGATGCTTCCTCTGTTGCCGCCCCCACTCACCGTTACCCTCTTTGGCAAAGCTATGCTGCGGCTGCTGATCGGAGTGGTGCTTCTGCTGCTGACAAAAGCAGCCATGAAGAAAGTCACCATCCCTCTAGCCTGTAAGATCTTCCGTATACCTTTTGATGACATTCGACAAGCCCGGCAGTGCATGGAGGTTGAATTGCCTTATCGCTATATTACCTATGGGGCTGTGGGATTTGCACTGAGCTTCTTGATTCCTTCCCTGTTTCTCGTGATGGGACTGTCCTGATGCAGGTGTTGTCTTGCTGTGGGAAGGGAGGTGGACAGTTAACATGTGAAGCAGGTGCACCTTTGAAAAATGCAGAGATGTGCTGTTATACTTTTTCTGCTAATGTAATGCGTGACAGGTTAAGAAAGCTCAGATCTTTGATAACTTTCAAAACTTAGTGACTTCATGTCCCTGAGAAATGCCATGTCAAGTCTTAATGTTGTAACAAAATGTAAACTCTGTGTATGTGTACATATATACTGTTGATGCTTCGAACTATAAATATACTTCTATATTTGGCCATGTAAAAATGGGTATATTTATAGCTGGTTCAAAAGTTTTGTCAGTGGTCAGTTAAAGCCATTTTGTATTAAGTTATTTGTTTCATTCAACCACAAACTGCTATAATGGAAAAGCTTCTTTTGCTTTTATCTCTGCACTCCCAATCTTTTATGGAGGAAAGAAGCTATTGTAATGGACCAAAGGTCTAATAAGATTTGGCTTAGAAAACCTGGTATTTTAGATCCCTTTCCATATACTTCAATAACTTTAATTTGTGAATAGGAACCAGTTACATCCAGGTACTGTATTTTTGGTTGATAATTGTGCCTTTCTGTTGCTAAATGAAAAAACACCATATACTGTGATGTATATAAAAAGCCCAGAAGTATTTAACATTTTTACTCAATTTGGCAGATATTTTAAAATGTAACTAGCCACAAAAGTAATAAAATAAATATTTTATCTTCTATATTAAAATATGAAAATAGAGTGAGCTGAAACTTAAAAGTTTGCTAGTTATTTAATCCCCTTTATAGGTATTTCAAGTGCAATGTATTTTGTTGGAAGAACATATATTTTTCTGCTGAATGTCTTAATTTATAATATAGGCATGCTGTGTCCAAAAGTGAGAGAGAGTGCTAAATTTACAAATCCAAATCATGCACGTTATCTATTTTTTGTGTTAGTTTTCTTCAAATTCATTTCATATCAATCCATATTCTTGACAATGCTGGCTTCAGAAGAAGCATGCACAAGAGATATTGGGAATTGTGAACTGTGTTGCCCTGATTATTAGATAAAGACTTAAATATGGCTGACCAGTAGTCTCTGGTGGTTAGGTGCTTTGAAAACATTCCTCAAAACAACCAAAATAAATTTCTCGATGGATATTATTTCTAAGGTAGCACTGCCAAATACATTTTGTAGCTGACCTGCCAACTAGAAAAATGGTGAAGGTGAAAACTGTGTTCTGCTGCTGCTATTTTGATAGTCAGTTGTCCAATGCAGCTTGCGTTGCCCTGGGATCTACAGAAGCCAGCATGTATTTTGTGTTACGAGGGAGATTAGAAACAAGTGTGTTTGCTTGCCTCAGTCTTTGTCTGCATGGGATAAAGTAGTAGCATACATTGAAACACTTTTCAAACATTTCCAGTGTGTACAATGAATGTGTGGCTGCAGCAAAATGTGTATTTGCTGAATTGTGAAAAGTGCCTATATTTACATGTGTGGGGCCATACTAATGGCTGAAGTGGTCATTGACTGCCATCACTTTACACATGTTCACCGTTGGTCTGATGTGCAAACAGCGTCTGAGTGGAGCCTTTGAAGAATGGTAGTTTTGGTCAATTATAGATTCTTTTCCAAACTGCTTCCTTTCAGATGTTTTGGACTACAACTTCTAGCATTCCTGAACATCGACTTTGCTGGTTGGGACTGATGGAAATTGCGCTCCAAAACATCTGGAGTGTTCAAGGTTGGGGAAGGCTGGTTATGTGTGAATGGAGTCTGTGTCTCTCTAGGAAACATTTAGCCCTTGACAATAATCACATGCCATTTTAGTGGCTTCTTTTTGCTATTCATTGATTTTGGCTATGAGATTTTAAATGTTGGCTTACATAAATAGCGTAGGCCACGGCCATCATGCATAATAGGAGATGTTTGGCGTTGATGACAGTGGTTTCTGTCCTGCTGCTGAAGCCTTTAATACAAAAATTGCAGGTAGCAGGATTGGTCACTAGGGGAAAAATTAAACAAATCACAGAAAGGTGTTAGCTTTATTAGAACTAACCAAACATCATGTAATATGAGGAAATTTTGAGTTCTCTGAAACTCTTCAACAGGATGGACATTGAACAAAATGGCATGGTGGCACAGGATGAGTCATGCATACAAAAGTGGACCGCTGGGGCAAGACAGATTCCAGAATTAGGCCAGTGCTACTGGGACAAAGTAGCAATAATGACCGTTTCCCAGTGATTTGTGAGCTTTCTGCAATGTTGATGCAGAACCTTTGCTGCTGGTGTGTGTGTGCGTGTGCGTGCGTGCGCAGTTGGAAGAGAGAGAAGTGTTCCCTTGTGCCTGAGCTTGTTATTTTGCATATGTGAATTGAAATTGATAGGCTACATTGAGAGCTGCTTTCTGGCCTGTGTGCATCACAGATACGGTATTCATGCTTTTGGAAAGTTCTAGAGCTGAAAGGTGTGAAGGCAGGGGACTCCCCAGCCCGCTCTGCACATGTTAAGTGTATGCCCCTTACTTTCCCATTCTTTCCTTTTTGACCAGGAAGGCGGCACATTGCTTAGGAGCATTCCTCAAGGTTCTGGTTTTTGAAGGGACTTGAGTCCTCCTTTTTATTTTATTTGTCCTACTTATTCTCCACATCTTACTGTCTTCAGAGCATTATCACAGCATGTGACCACACTGGGGTTGTATGAGGAATTCCTTTTGGGGGGTGGAAATCTGTGGGATTCCATTGCTCAGCTCCTTGCCCTCCAGTCTGCTTTTTTTGCAGCTGTGAGCCTGACTTGGTACTGAGTGTTTGCCTGGGCGCTTGTCAGGAATCAAACCTGCACAAACACCATACAAATGGCATCCCTCTTGTGCTCATGTAACTTGCAGCCTTGGTTTGCGTTGCACTTGCTGTGGAGGAAGGTTGCCAGGTTGTGCAGCAGTTCTGGGTACGTGTGGACTACTTCTCAGCTTAGCTCAATTCCTAAATCAGGGCCAATCACAGTAAGAAATCCAACAAACAGAAGAGAGCTGGATCCTGTGAGGACAGTGCAACCCTACGAGGGGTGCCACCACTGCTCGTGTCGCCAGGAGCACATGGAATTTTTGGTTCCATCATCTGATGGAGGTTTCCTGTCCCTCCTTTTACTGGGAAAAGGACACCTATTTGCTCTATATAAGCATTACCAGGCTTTTATTTTTATTTATTTATTAGATATATATCCTACCTTTTTCTTTAAGAGCTCAGAACAGCTTGCATCATTCTCCTGGTGCTCTTGTTCTCATCCCCACAGCAACAATCCTGTGAGGCTGGTTTGGTTGAGAGTCTTTGACTGGCCCAAGGTCACCCAGCTGGCTCTATGGCTGAGCAAGGACCGGCATCCAGACTGAGTCCCAGACCCCATGCTCTTAACCACTACAGCACACCACCTCTCATGTCCCAACCATAAAAACAGGCAAGGATCTTTTTGGCTGCAGGCTCATCACTGGAAAAAAGCTCTTTGTGAAGCTGAAGTCACAGCTCAGGTGCATTCTCCAGTTCACTGGGCCTCATCCTGCTGTTCCTACTACTCCTATAATTCACAGACTGGTCTTTGGAAATTCTTTGGTGCACACCAGTAGCCAACACATACTTGTGAAGAGCGCCTCATCCTTTTCAGAATCCAGCTTGAAGATCAGGCGTTTCTCACTCCATATATGTTGCAACATACGTGAGCATCACTGCTTGTGTAGGAAATGAGAGCAATGGTTCTATGGTTGCTGCACCCTTTTGCATCTCTTTCTTGGGGATTGGAATGCATATTGAATGCTCCCATTGTGTGGGCCATTGTTTTGTACTCTCTATTTGTTAGCCCGTTCTTAGGTTTTGGACCAATTCTAATCTGCAGCTTGGTATAGTTCTGTTGTTATTCTATTTCAGGTGTTTTATTCCTTTCAAGTGTTTTAAGAGCAGCTTTCACTTTACTTTCTAAAATTGCAGGCTCTTCCTCTTTTAAGGTGTCTTCCTTTCATCTCTTTTGTATATTTTTTGCACCTTCTCTTTTCGGCTTTATTCTTTTTATTTAAGAGTTCATGGTCCCTACCGCAATCTGTCCCTGATCTTTTTTTTTTTTTGGCAGTGAGAATGCAGATTCTCCATTTCATTCTTCCAATTATGTAGTTTACTTAGTTTCTGTACTGGCCATCTGGTAATGCCCATGTATACAGCCATTTGGTCAGCTGCTTGTTAAACAGCTGTTGGTGTTGTGAGCTGAGTGTTCCCTGCCAGCAGTAACAGACTCTCCAGCACTTCTTGTTTAAATGTCTTTATTCTACATAGAGAACATATGTAAAGTGATACGTTGAACCCTCTCTGGCCCTTTTCACCCAAAGCTTTGCTTATGAATCCTTCTGTGCCTGTCTTGGGAAGGAGGGGCACTGTGAACCCTAGCGCACTTGCGTTCTTCTCTCTGAGATCCCAATTGGGCAACTTTGACAATGGACTTCTCGGTCCAACTCCTTAGGTGGCTGGCGTTCTCCATCTGATAGACTCTCCATCTCTAAATCTGTCCCCTCAGGATGTTGTAGCTCTTCTTCGTTCCCACAGGCAGGCTGACTGGGCCACTTGAACTAACCTCTTCCTTAGCAGGCACAGAGCCTTGGACTGCAGCTGGAGCTGCGTCCATTTCAACAACCTTCCCGTTATCAGAGCCTGAGCTGTCAGTCCTGCCAAAATGGTCAGCCTCTCGTGCGCGCCTGGGAATCTCGCCAGAACTGTTGTGCCAGCACCATAGTTGGCACCACAGAACTTGATAAGTCCTGCTTGGTTTCTTACTTCTAGGCCAAGTTCTCTTACAACATTTGATTCTGCTTCATTTCCTACTTTTGTGTTCCAGTCACCTAGAATAAACAGCATGTCTTGTTTTGGTGCATTATCAATTTTCTCTTGCACACAGAAACAGAGTGAGTCAGAATGAGCCTCCCGGGCCACCTAGTCCTGACCCCCAGCTCCAGCCGGCTCCGCTCATGACATGCCTACCATGTGCATCTACACAGAAGTTTTTGATTTCTTCAGCATCTGTTGTTGGAGCAGAGACTTGAATGATGGTTATGTAGAAGGGTTTCCCACAAATTCTGATGGCTATGATTCAGTCAGAACACTGGCTGTGCCATATCTTCACTATTAGAGCCACTCCATTTTCTTTTGCCTTCGTCATTTCCAGAGTAAAAACACTTGTCATACTGAAATATGTCCCATTCCAGTCCATTTTATTCCAGTCCAGACACCCTCTGCCAGTGTCACATCCAGCTGTCTCTGCTGTCTTCACTCCTGAAGGTGGATGTGTCTCCATCCAGTGTCTCTGCCTTGACCATTCCGCCTTGGGTGACCCTGCTGGGTGACACCCCCGTCCCCATCCCCCCGGAAAGCCTTGCTCTCTGCTTGCCTGACACTCTCAACCCTTCTCACCATGTGCATCCAAGAGGAGGCCTCATCTCTTATCCTTCACCAAAGAGAGGATTATTAACACTTTATTACTAATTTCATTTCTATACCACCTGACAGCTGAAGCTCTCAGACTTCTTGTGCTGAAACTGATGGCCTGGAAGATCTGTCTGTCTTGACATATTTTATAATGTGTTGAAGACAGAGAGGAAACTTTCCTATTTGGCCCAATCTTTCCTTTTTATTGCTAGTCCTCCTTGATTCAACACATCCTGCAGTTCCTGTTCCACTCAAAACATTCCTGACTTGCCCCTTTCCTCCGTAATAGCACACCTGGCACTCATCTCTACCTCCCACTTGCCTGCAGAAGCTCCCTCTC